GTGGTGCGGGGTGTTCCTGCGTCTGCCCTTACGTAGAGATCTTCCCCTCAGCACCGGTCCTGACCCATTTTTTTAAACTAATGGAAACGCGTTTGCCACGCTTCGCTCCTGCTTCCGTCACCGTTTCTGAGCACTGGGTACCATTTGTTAGAACTTAGCGGGGAAATGGGAACCAATGGACACCGCCTTCATGTGCGGGAAGTTTCTGTGAAGACAACTTTCTCCTCTGGCTGTTTCCATGCTGCAGCACACCGAGAACTTTATAAGACATCTCTTGTAAAAAGCAAGATGTTGTGCTCAGTAAATCTGAGGCATTCAAGTAAATGCCATTAAGCAATAATAAAATTAAAATTACTAAATGGCCTGGAACAAGTTTTAAGAAGATGGGTTTAATGCCGCCTGGGATGCTTCCAAAGGGAATATATAGTTTGGGAAATGGTAGTGTAGGACATCAACATGCTCACCACATCAGACTCGCTGCTGTTACACAGTGTCTCCATCAACATAATCCTGAATAATCAGAGTCCGTGCTGAAACCACGTCTCGCTTTTATTACGCATTTCGCTGCACCTTAAACTGCAGCTAAATAAGAACATTCTTTCGCTCCTTTCAGTCAGACTTTCCTTTTTTAAGTTAGCCTCGTAATTCTAGGCACTTACAGTGCATTTAGCAGGCTGCAGAAGTCCAGAAATACGTTTGTCCCAATTCACAGTTACATTAACGTCCTGCTGCCTTCATGCTGCTGCAGGGGTGTAAGTGACCTTGATATAGATGAAAATTGGACCAGGCTCCTCGCTTGCCGGCTAGACCCAACAACGTCCTGGCACAAACAGAGCCCATCTAATGGACTGCATATATGTGAAGAGCTTCAGACAAGTTTATTTGCACATGTTCTCACCCATTAGCTAGAGAAACCCTTGGCCTTCTCTGCGGAGCTGTCAGGAGCGATGTGAGCAGGATAAAACCAGACCTGAAAGCGGAGGGTTAACAGGATGCACGCTCCTGGGGGGGCCAGGGGGAAACCCTTGCTGTAGAGCCAGGCTCGAAGACAGGGGCAGATCCTGGTCTTTGGTTGTGTTGAAAATGCTGCAGTTCTCCACCCATCCCTCCTCACAGAAACAGGGTGAGGGAAGTTCTGTTTTCTTGAGAGAGATTACAGCAGTTTAAAGGCAGGTCATGGTTTGGGCCTAAACAATTTTGGCCTACTGCCAGCAACTCGTTTTCAAAACTATAAATAGGAATGATTTCAGAATGCTCTGAAAAATAAAAATCAATGGGCAGCAGAAGCCAGCTGAATTGTATTTCAAAATATTTCCAGATATGTCCTTAAATGAGGCAGAGAGATATTATGCAGCACGAGGAATGCCTCTCATAAATATTAACCTAGTTTGTTTTTAATTAGGATTTGCTACATTTAATTAGGGTTTGAAAGATTTCATTTTAGAAAACGTAGGTCTCACCCCTGGCTAGGAGAGTTGTTAAAATGACCTAATACTCTTTTCCATTTTTAGATGCTGCAGCCCACCATGATGCTCCCTGTCATTTGTGCCATTCCCCAAGGAGAAAATGGAGAGATCCTCGCACAGTTCCTGCGGCGGCTTCTCCACCAGCCTTCCTCCCGGCTGCCCGCGCCAGAAACACAGCGAGGCCGGAGCCCATGGCAGCTCCCAGCAGCTGACAGGGCCACCAAAGCTCGTAGTGACTGCTATGATATAAAGCAAATATTCCTTGAGCTCCTTTGATCCGTCCAAAAGACTGATCCACTGCTTATTAGCCTCAGTATTAGCGAGAGGCAAACCCAGTAATTCGTCACGTAGTAGGTGTTGCTTGCCTCCAAAGTGGTCTTGCGAACTGTCATTTTCCTCCAGTAGCAGCCCTGGGTGTTCAGCTCTTCTATATATTAAATCTATGATGAAGAGTGTCCTGACCATCCCTTTCAGTTTGCTGTTTGGGAAAACAAAAAAAACAGTGTAGAAAATACCACCTTAATTGGTCATTTTTACCATGAAAGTGGCATTTCTTGGAGCAGCTGCCTGTTAGAGCCTTCCTACAGACTGCGTTGTTGCCCCATAAGTACATCTGGCCCGGCTGGGTTCAAGATCACTCATGGTCTGGGTTTACCATGGTTATTATTTGACCATCAACACATAGTCTTACTGTGAAAGGGAGCCTCGAAGACAGATTCTCTTGGGTCCAGTAATTTGAGTAGAGTTGAGGATCAGCCAGTTACATGCTTTAAAAGTCCGGTAGATTTATCTGTGCGGTTTAGGAGGAAACTTTCACTCAGTGATGCTTGGGGTGGGTATTTCCTTCATAAGTCTTTTGCACATCTCTTTCAAGGAGAATGTGTGCATACCCATTTATTTCATGGCTGCTGAGTCCAAAGGTGACCCGCAGGACTCGGTCAGCTCTGTGAACTGGTGTACAGACTAAGAAGACATGAAAATCAGCTGGCCATGCTTGGCTTTAAAAAGATTTCACTGACAGAGTCAGAATGAAATAACTCTCTGGGGCTCAAAACAGCAGGCATTGTCAGATAGAAGGGATTAAAAGGCTGTTTAATGTGGCTTAGCAGTGTACAGAAGATTGGCTTACTTGTATGAGCTCTTCTTTCGTCACATTGATCTCTATTTTGCATTGTGCTTAGTACAACAGAAACTGGAGGCTGAAGTCTTCTTTCCCGAATCATCTGACAGGACTTGGCCCTTTTATTGCTTAGTAACATTTTTTTTTGTGAAGGAGGAATCGATTTTTGCCAGTGTAGCCAGTGTTGAGAAATAGCTACAGAATACCAAGTTGTAATAATTTTATGAACACTGTATGTGGCCCGGTTGGTGAGAGGAAGTCACTATGCAATGGGTTATACTACTTTATATGACTTTGCTGTATAGATGTATCGATCTAACTTAATAGGGAGCTAGCTGATGAAGGAATACAAGGCAATTCAGCAGTTCCCCTGTGCCAGCTGTATGTGACTAAACCCATGAGGTGGTAATTACAAGACGATAGCTCCAATTCCGCGGGATGCAGCTGGTTTGTCAGGCTGAGAACTGAAAATCAGAGAAGCATACAGTTGGCAGAGAGCTGATGGAAGAAATTTAACACAGAGGCAGACTTTGCAGGAGAGGCTGGAGGAAGCTGGGTCTTCCTCTCTGCAGCAATGGACTGGTACGTCACACAGAAGGAAAGGCAAGCGTGGTGACTGGTTTATTGTCTGTTAAGATCTATTTTGTCTTAAATGGTTTGGTGCTAAGTAAGTGTTTTGTGGTCAGTACTTAGAGTCCTTACTTCATGAGAGACTAAAACTGTGAGGTCTGGGTCTGTCTCAGGTCTGCAGAGGTAATCATGGTCGATACACTGGGGATGCAACCTGAGAACTGGTCTGTGTGCAGCACAAAAAGACAGCTAGAGATCTGGTGGAACAGTTAACCGGTCACTTGCAACAACGAAATGCAAACACAGCCACAAGGTCTTGTTTTTTCTTCTTTGAAAATGATTTTGTGTATAAATAAGTAGCTTTTAGACTAATAGGTGGGCTTTCACAGATAGACTTCACCTTCGTGTTTTGATGTGGGTTTTTTTTTTTTAAACACATCATAGTTAAGAACACAATATCAAAGGTAAGAAAAAATTTATTACATATACTGGTTAGCTTCCTGCTGCTCAAATGAAACATACAGCAAAAGTGGTTTTATTTTGTTGTCCGTTTATTCGCCATTTATTGTACTGTTGTTTTCACCACTTACTGTATATAATCAATTGGTTGTCCCCTGCTGTTACCATGGATATTTAATACATTGACATGGAAAAGAGATGTTTTTATGAAAAGGAAAACACAGCTACAAAACTCCTCTTGCACAGAATGGAAGGCTGTGGTGTATTTTACGTTGATACAGCCAGTGATGGCTTTCTGCTTCATGTTCTTATCTACCGTGTACACACCTGGATATCCATCCTACACCTTGCGATTTGCGAGGCTAGTGCCCGGGAGGGGGTTAGGTGCAACGTAGCTCCTGGTGTCCATTCTCCCTCGCTGGAGCAGGCAAGAAGCCCCAGGTTGGTAGCTCAGTTGGCTTGAAACTCAGAAGCACTTCATGGAAGAGTGGTGCTACTGATGAGAATGGTTCAGCATAAATAGGAATCTAAGACCCCCCCCTTCAGACTCTTAGGTCTGGGGTTTTCTGGAGATCAAAGGAGAACACAGTATTTTGAACAAAATGTGCAAGGGCCCACCCTTCCTGAATTGCGCTTTTAGTAGTTATGTTTGGTCGTGCAGCTGTAATGCTCTACAGAAAGGTCTGGGTTTCCCCTCCTCCCCTCCTTTTTTTTTAATATATATCATAAGAGAAATTTAATAGATGTTTTCGTAGGAGTCTCTGGTCCTACACTTTTCTCATTGCGCCTGTGTGTTCTACGAGGAGAGACCCTGATCATTACTGGTTGAAGTCTAGCACCTTTAATTCATCAGAAGGTCATGTAATGTATTACTTACATTAGATGTAGGTGCCAAAACTGACCTGTAAACCTAAAATTAAATTGGGACTACAAAATTAATTTCACTTAGATTGTGGAAATTAGACTATAAATGGAATTCCTGTGGGAACTGTATAAACCTTCTTTGACATTGATTTAATGTAATTCTTTTCTTAATAGGGTAACTTTAAATTGTGTAACCAGTACATAGTTTTAACCAGCACAGATTTGTAGCAAATTTTGCAGTCAGATGAGTATTAACAGGAACATTCTGTGGTGTTTCTAATTTAAGGATTACAGTGTATAGCTTTATTGCAGATGACTAGACAGTCAGGCGTCGTACCCCCTCGCCAAACCTGATCAGATAGGTAATGATACAAAGCTAACACACCATTTGTCAAATGTCTCCATTCAATCAAGAAGTTTTCATTTCATTCATTATCAAGGCACAGGATAACACAAATTTAGGGTACGGATTTATTTTGTGGTCAAAACTGAATTCAGAATGTGAATTTCAAGATTAGTACCTGCATTGGTATTTCATGTCTAAATCACAATAATCAACTCCTAATTTGGGAGAATTTCGAAGTAAAGACTTAATTTTTCAAATTGGACACGGGAATTCAAAGTCTGACTAGCTCTGGAACAAAAATCTGCATTCTCTTAGTAGACAGCAAGTGAGTGCGCTCGTTTTGTGCAAGAAATTGAGGACTGAAATTATTCTGAATCATTCAAACATTTAAGCTCTAGATGACAGCATATTTTGCTGGCTTTGCTGCTAGTAACAGTATTGAAAAGCACATTTTCTTTTCTATCTTTGGAAATATTCCTGTTGTTTTTGAAGATAACATGTTCAGCTCTGATTCTTCAAGTTTTTCTCGGTGGCTGCATTCAGGGGTCTGAATTAACACACACACTGTCTTTGCGTGAGAGCTCATGCGTTAGATTGTCTCTGCAGGGGAACATTTAGGGCACTTAAGATAATTTGACATATGAAAACATTAATTTTGAGTGTTTTACTGAAAGTAACTCAGAATATCCTGACATTCCGTAAAATGCAGGACAAGGCTTTTAAACAGGGTAAGAATACTCTGAATGCCAGGTCATCTCAAAACTTGCTAAAAGTTTTCTGGGATCTGTTGCTTAGCAAGTCGTCTGTGTTATTTAACACAATATTGTCCTGGTCCTTTACTAAGTCGGTAGGTGCAAGAGCAGTTCTAACACCTATCAGGCTGTATAAGGAGCACAGCTGTACACCAGAACTCAATCATTTTAGATATTCAAAGTAATCACTACAAGGCTGCCTTTTGCAACACCTCATTCATCTGAACCGGAATTAAGCATCCACTTGTATTAGTAGAGTTCTTGAAATAAATTAATTCTTCCAGACACGGCATGTGTTGATAGTAGGTAGCCTTCGCATGTTCATTCACCCATCTGCATGCTTAGGGCTGATCTTCTGATCCTGTTAGTTTAATCTCTTAACTGTCCAGATGTCCTCCCAAGAAGGTGCTGCCCTTTCCTTGATGAAGTGTAGTTTGTTGTTCTTTCCAGGGTTTCATTCTAAGGAATGTCAAGGGACAAGCTTTATGACCTTACTGTACTGTATTTGCAAAGAAAAGTAAAACATGGCAAATGAGAATCCACTTTAAACTAGGAAACTGCGTACAAAACCCCACCACCAGCAAAGACTTGAGAGACCTGTTGGCAGCTAAAAATATATGCACATTCTTCTCCTAACTCATAAGAAATAATGGTATGGGAAGTATATTTTGCACAAATACAGTTCTAAAAAATGCATGTTATGTTTTTAAAAAAAAAGAGAATCCCAAACTTCATGAACAGAAATTTAGAACATCCTGAATCCTCTCATGTTACAGCTTGACCCAACCCTACTCAATAATGGAAACGGTTTACATCAATGGGAGAGGCAGAGTTGCCTTTCTGATAAGGCATAACTTTGTAACTGAAAGCAGTACTAATAAAATTTGGGTGTTGCAGAAGTAAAAATGACAGCCACAGCTTGAGACATTCCCTGGCATGACTAGGTGAGACGTTAAACTACAAGATAAAGCCTTAAACACCTTATGTTCGCAATCTATAATGAAAGTAGCCATCTATTATCAGATACGTTCTGTATTGTAATCATAATAGTGTTAGCTTCTAGGCCTATAAAAACTTTTAAGGAATATGAAAATGCTTAAGCTATAAAAAGCATATTT